TTCGGTGAAATGCAGCGCCCTTTTTTAACGAATGTTGCAAGAAAAGATGTCCACAGTTTTAATAACAATAAAGGTTATGATCAATTCATCAGAAGTAAAACCGTTATGATGATGGATACACTACGTGCATGTATAATGCCGAGTTATATGAAATGAAGATGTTGCGACAACGATAATGTACATGGATATTTTTGAGCTACATGTATATTGTTAAGAATTTCAGAAAGTTTATTGTTTAGAGAATGAAAGAATGTACATATATATGTATATCATATTAAATGCAACTATGGAAAAAAAAGTTATTTATTATTAAATCTATAGTGTATTAATAATAGATGGGTTGACATTAAAACTAAAATATTAAGTAAACGTTTGATATATTTGTTCATATAAATATATCATTTACATAATTACATCATCCAAAACGATATGTTATTTGTATGAGTGCGTATGAAATGTGTTTTAGGTGCGGTAATGTGTGTGAGTGTGTGTGGCGGGGAGGGCCGGGGAGAGGGTGACATATACATGCCTGCAGTCGCTCTTATATCACCACCACCACCACAATATAAGACACTGGAGTTTGGGACGGGATTTTTGCAGTTTCTAATGCTATTCTTGTTAAAAGCTTAATGTAACATTTCCACTGGAATCAAGGGTTCTGTCGCTACCTAATTTCATTTTGATATACTACAAATGTCCCTATTTATACTCAAATGTCTGCCCTATGCTTTGGTCATCTACGAACTCTTAGAGACTAAAATAAGATGCACGATCGTGTTATGAAATCAGCCTTTTTTTTTACATTTTAGTTTTCATCTGTTACCATTCATTCAATCAAAAGGGTATATACAAAATTATATACCTCACTTAAGTAATCCAGCAATCTGATTGGTCGAAATTGCATTCATAAACTTTAACTGTTCCCGAAAATTCCCGGTAACCATGGTTAAAAAACAGTTCAAAATCCCAATAACCATGGTTATTGGGAAAATAGGTCAGTCTCCATGGTTACCCCATAGGTTTACATGTTAAAAAATGGTCTGAGCGATCGAGGATACCGTACGTGTGCGAAGAATTGGTCGGTAATTTCAATACAATTGAATCTCGATCGATCTTACCGACAATTTAACCCTTGCATTGTTGACATGAAGACGAAAATAAACTTCCAAAAACAAAAAAACAACATCTGCCGATAGATCTTGATCTAAGTTCGTGCCAATATGCATTGCAAAAGTAAAAGAAGGGCCCGTTTAATGGAGCAGCGGCGAAGCATCCACCACCCGAAGCCGTTTTCAATCCATTTTAATGTATATATTAGAGAAAACTGCTTTTACATGGTGACAGAGTTTTTTTATTTTTTATTTTTTATTTTTTAGTCAATTTTTTTTCGGCATATAAAAGTATTAATGACTGCTTTAATATTCGAGAAATAGTTGTTTTTTAATTGGGCTATTTCCCTCGGCACGCCTCGGGTAATAGCACAATTCTAACCTTCCCTTGAGCGTATAAAAACAACTACTTCTCTCAAAGCAGTCATTAATACTATACTAATTTATAGAGAAACACCATCCCACAATCGGCAAGGGGGGGGGGGTATCTGGGATTATTAAATTGTCAGCGTCCAACTGTTTTGAGGTTCTTAAATGATTATATTATTTTTAAAGACCCTGTCGGAAGCTGAAAATTAAATAGATGAATTATTTAGGGAAACACTCTTATACATGTATATGAGAGCACAAAATCGCTATGTTTGCGAGAGAGTAAAGTCCCAATTACACTGTTGGTCATAATGGTGGAATAATTATTTTTACCCCAATTTATTGAATGATTTTGACAATGATTTATTCCTAATAGATCTAGATAATAGTATACATCTCAGATTTTATTGAATGACAATTGGGGAGTGTTTGTTTTGCGTGACTGCTAAAGCATGTGTGTGCTACTATGCTAATCAACTAGGGGACCTACGTCCTTAAGTCATAACTGACAGTAGTGGGGATTAATGCCTCATAAAAGAGCACTAATATAGCACATCGACACGGTTTTGGTCCTGGGGGCTCACACTAACGAGGCCATTGCTTAGCCAATTAGCCATCACATTTTAATGGCGCTATACATATCCGCCTAAATATCTTTCTACACCCCCCCCCCCCTGTGACAGTCATGTGATAATAAACTTCCTTATTATTGGTACTCTATTCTATCTCTAGACGTATGTCACTTAGACAATGTAACATCTTAAGGGCACTTCAACTTGTGAAACAAGCTTCAATAGACAAAGTAAATATACTTCACCACATTATGACGTTGCAAAGTTTGAAAAATCTATTTTCAACAAAATTGACGCAACCTTTTGTGCGTTGTCTAAATCTAATAAATTTCTCTCGACGGAATTGATGACATATTTTTTGAAAGCGTGAATGCATTATTTGACATTGTCATGTTTTTAATGAATTGTTTGGGTACTATAAATGTCAGCACCATTATTGTCAAAATCACCTTTACCAAGTTTTGGCTCATAAGAGGAATGTTGGTAAAGCCATATGCATGTGCTTCTTTGATCTTAAATCCTTTTAAAAGTTAAAGCCTTCAGTGCTTAATTGTTCACGTGCTTCAAGGTATCTAGGCTTTCAAAGGACCTTGTTTCAATTCAAAGGATAACCTGAAATTATTTCAAACAGCCTATTAACTTCTCGTCTCATGATATCTAAGTGCTCTTTGGTCACGGGTCCTCTGCGTAATTTTGCACGCTAAAGGTGCATAAGGTATTTATCTCGCATAGCACATGAAAACTTAAAGGTTACTTAACCCAAATGCAACCGAGAACACATAAGTTGATAACTACCAAAGAAAGTGACAGTAGCCTTTCATAAATACAGATCCCAAATCATAAACATCCCAAAGACCCCAAATAATCTTACTCCATTTTGTACCACTCAATTAGAATGGTTAACTCAAACAAGAGGTGCAAGAGAAGCCAATATTGTGTTATCATAACGAACAGAATATCATAAAGTTTGCCTTTAAAATGAGCTTTTCCTTGAGTCTGGGTTAACAGTTTTTCAAATGCACAACATTAGTGTCAATAAGTCAACACTTGACAATATATTTTCGGACTAAGACAACACGCACAAAATGGCTTGACCCACATTCATTGCTTCAGCCCAAAATTGGTACAAGAAGATTTTGACAATACTATCTAAAAAGCCTGCTGCTCAGTATCATTAGACAGTGTATTAGTTACTTTTTAACACAAAATAAAATACAAGGTCATATAGGTTATAAATGTATAATTATAAGCTACCAAAGTTGGGTATCCCTTTTTTAATACGCACTGTATATTGAAAATGCATCGAAAGTTCTTCATTCTTAAAGATTTAACAAAAAGGGTTTATTCACATGTATATGCTGAAGGTTTGAGACGTTGTCACACATATACCATTCAATTTTACATGTATTCTTTAAACATAATAAATTTGCTAATTATTTCTCGCAATAGCAAAGTTATCATCTACATGCCATTTCATAAAATATTCAACACTTGTTTCAGGTCTTCAATTTAAAGTCATTTCCTCACCATATTTGGCATCTTGAAAGTTTATTACATGGTAAGATTTGTCAACGCAATTGAACATGGATATTCGTCCTTTCTCGTTTAAGCGAGGACAAAATGTTCCCAAACAACTTTATTTAAAAGTTATATCATGCTATTCTTTTTTTGGTGCTATTTTGAACCCCCCGTAAGTGATGTTTTTCTGGCATCTACCAATGGAGACCACAAAAGCGATGACGATGCGGATACCGTGTGGGTCTGAACACATGATGGCGTTTTTCTATGCACATCACATTTTCACTTGGCAGCCAAAGGGGGGGGGGGGTAAACCCTCTAACACCCTCATAGATCCGCCACTGAGTAGTGGAGTTAGCAATGTGCAATAGGTATGTTTAAAAAAAAATATACCAAGGCAAGTTTGATGGTCCCAAAGATTTACTTGTATATACAGTGTGAGTCAAAAAAAGTCGACACCTAGAAAATTGCTCATTATTTTTAAAATCATCTATGGACAGTAAATTATTATACATCTTATGAAAGAGTGTTTTATCCCAAATCATCTGGTATCATTTTTGTGTGGTATGTGTTCACGCTTGGATGAACATGAGGCATTGTTTGCGAGAGTGCAAAAATCGACTTGCGCCAAAGTGATGCCTACAGTATGTATTATGTTGCGGATTAGCGAAGTGAGAGAATGAGTTGAATGTATCAAATGAAATGCATTGCATATGCTTTTTGCAGAGGTAAAGTCGCACACACACGCACAAATGATCGTTGATATTTGATATTCGATATTTGATATGTGTGGCATGACTAATTTTGGTAGGGATATTATTTGGATCTGCAAAGACCGAATTAATACCCAAATCCCAATTGTTTTATTCATCACATCACATAAGCAACTTTGGCGCAAGTCGATTTTTGCACTCTCGCAAACAATGCCTCCTGTTCATCCAAGTGTGGACACATACCACACAAAACTCATACCAAATGATTTGGGATAAAATACTCTTTCATAAGATGTATAATAATTTACTGTTCATAGATGATTTTTAAAATAATTAGCAATTTTCTAGGTATAAACTTTTTTTTGACTGACACTGTATATAAAGATGTGTTATAAAAACTAGCACAAGAAAATATTTTGAGAATCAACTTCATAATGTGCAAAGTTCAGCTATATCACTTCCTGTCCCTTCGCTCTCTCTCTCTCTCTCTCTCTCTCTCTCTCTTTCTCTCTGTCCTTTGCCCCCCTCTCTCTCTCCCCCTCTCTCTCTCTCTATCTTTCTCTCTATTTAATTGGAGCATATACCATATACACGATGCAACCAATTGAGGTCACTGGGCAATAACAGGAAACTGTAAGTGAATAAGCAGATCCAAGTCCAAGGTTCTCAAACATTTCTGTAAAAAAGTGTAAATCAGTCTTCACACTAGTTTGTCTAAAATGGAGCTGTACACAGTGCTCGACTATGAGCGACTAGCCAAAGAGAAACTGGACAAAGATGCATGGGAGTATTTCAACTACGGAAGGGGACGAAAGTGGTGCTTTCAGGATAGCATTGAGGCATTTTCGAGGTATGTCAAACACGATCGCAAAGTCTTTCGAGAAATTAACTCGAGGGCTATGTCAATATATAGCCTATTGTAGTTTGTAGACTTGTATATCCCATTCATGAATGCATGTTTGATGATGTAATGTGTCACTGTAATGCTTGCACATTTCAGTAGGTGATGAACAAGGCCCTCTGCACTAGTTTGGCATGGAGGGATTAGACCTCCCCATAAGGTCACTGGTAGCTCTCAATTAACATAAGAAAAGGGGCATCATGGGGATCAACGGGTACCACTTAGGCATTGTTGGCTGTATAGAGGGCGCAAGTAGATACAAGTAGTGCAGTGAGGCTTTAACGCGACCAATCTTATACCGTAGTTATCGAAGAAACTACAAAATGGGGACAAAGGAAAAATAATAAAGAATGGGATCAAGACATTTGCAAGTACCTTTGTACCTTTATCTCTTTTACATGTATGTTAAATGTTTGAAGTTATTAGTTTTCCAATGTGAGCTTTCCTCATCGAATACATATACCATGTTGGCATGTTGAACAATATGATCAAGTGATGAATGGGGTGAAGAGCCATTATCAGACTGCATGAGTGACGTACGGAAAGAAATTGCCAAGTAAGAGAAGCCATTTATAGTACAGGAAGTAGGATTAATCCAGTTTTGAAAGTATTCAATGATTTTGTATATCAAACTCCTCTGCATCTACCCACGAACTATAAACTAGCTTTCAATATAAACATGGTTCGGCCTACAAGGGAAATAATGAGCAGGTCTATTAAAGTCAATTATTTGTTCTGCATGTTAGCAAATGATTCACTGATGATGTTTTTTGTCATTTCAACAGATATCGAATAAGAAGCCGGGTGCTTCAGGATGTTTCCAACCGTTGCCTAGCAACAACAGTTCTTGGTCAGTCCATCCCATATCCGATCTGTATTTCACCGACAGCCTGTCAGTTCTTTGCTCATCCTGATGGCGAAGAGGCAACGGCAAAAGGTATCATGTTCAGGCCTACTAAATGGTTAAAAGTTTTAGTGCTTCATACTTGATTTGCAATGGCCAATATGATCAATCTTTCATTCATAACACAATAAATTACAAAGACTTAACATATCACATCGAGGGCAATTTCATGAAACTATTGTATATTCCATGGAAATGATTTTTGGATTATGGTCATTGATAGGTAGTTGCAACGTACGTTTGCTCATTCAATATATGATGGACAATGCTATTGAAATTGCCTTTTATTAGGTTGATTTTTGGAATAACTGTTTGCCTTTTTTTCTTCTTTTTTTTAAAATCTCACCATATTTTCATTTATTTAATATTGCCTACTTCACAATTGTAGTTAGATATTGATGATATTTTGTTCCTTTTGTAATTTCATGACTCTAAAATTTACAGGGATGTTATAAATATGTATATGTAATGATTTTATGAGAATGATGAAACTTTGAAAACGGATGTATCCCTTGGCAGACACGTTTTTATTCCTCTATAGCAAGGGTCAACTATTCCTGTGCCCAGTTTCATAAAACTTGTTATCAACAACATCTGCCACAGATCTATGACAAATCTGCTCACAGCCAATCAAATGCAAGGATTTCTGTAGCTATTAATAATTATTAGGTGATCTTCCGCGAAGCCATGGCAGAGCACCTATTGATTTCGTCAGAATCTTTTTTTTCTTTTCTTTCTTCTATTCTTTCTGGATGGATTTTGTTACCTGGATATATCATGCATGGTTATTTTGCCTAACGATGAGATTGTTTTTAATTAATGATGCGTGACGTCATCTAGGCGCCATTTTGTTAATTTCTAATAATGGTCATATGTCATTTCTGAATGACATTTGATGTGCATGAATTTGAGGTCATGCGTAAACATAACGTGTCAACAAATTTCCGCACGCGTCAAAATTTAAAAATGCTCAAAATAATTTTTAAAATCAAATAACAGTACGTTTCAGGACAAGCATTACAAACAAAAAAAGATTCGTGCGTAAGCGCCCGTACGCGCGCCGTGCGGGCGTGCAGCACGTACAGAACGTAGAAACGCCATTTTTCGCATGGTTTCTCTTTCTGACACTATTCTTGACAATTTCCAACTTTTTACAGTCATTCTCGACATTCCATAATGCCATACGCGCGCGTTAAACCTTTAAATTCGTGCGCGCGTCAATGGGCAATATAATGTAAAAATTGGTAAAAACATTCCTATCTGGAACCCGGCTGAAGCTCGTCAGAAAGGCTGGAGGCCCCCACATTTCGTCGCTGTTTTCACGAAGTGACGGTAGTGAAAAAATTGCATTCACTTTGCATGACGATTTTCCTCACTACCGTCACTTCGTGAAAACAAGGACGATTTGGTTTCATTTTCTGAAAGTATATAAGGTGTAGAGTGGAATTCATGAATAAAATTGGGGGCTAATTGGTCGCGCCGTCATCATATTCGCTTATGAACAAAACAACAAAATAAAAATGACGTCCTAATTTTTATATTCATTTGACAAATATCTCACTCGTAGAAGGATGATCATCTGCCAATTTCGATGTGATGTAGCTGAGACAATTTCTACAGGATCAATTATACTATTTTTCATTTTAATGATGTCATTATAGTCAAAATTAACATCCATGGGATTCTAGGGGTTGGGGTGGTTGTCATTATGGGCTATCGATTTTTTAAATTAAAAAAAAAATTAAAGATAATTTTTATGTCAGATGATTTATTTTTAACGTTCATTTTTTTTCCTTTCTTGAGACATTTTTTTTTATCCGTTCTTTTTTCCTTTTATTTTTAATATCATTTCTCTTCTTTCTATAGGCCTACTTTTTATCCTGTTATTCTTTTTCTACTCTTTTTATCAATATTTAATTCGTTAGAATATCAACCTTTTGTTTGCCGTTTCATGTATCGTTTTATTTTTTTTTTCTAATTTATAAATGACCATCAGAATTTTCTTAATTTGCGTTTAATGCCTATGGAAGGTGACTTTCGTTCACATCACGAATCTACTTGACATTGTTCTTTGAGCATTATCTCGGTTGTTTTTCTCCATTTTCTCCCAAATGTTGGTATGTTATAGCTGAGACTATGGGCTACAGGTAATGTGCATTCTGTTTTTTGATCAGATGTTGGGATCATTTTTAATTGAAAGTTGAAATTACGACTATGCCAAGGTCGTTTTTCAGCTTTGCATGTAAAGTCTATGGGAAATATTTTGGTATGTTGGTCAAAGCCCTTGCCTCCCGTTCACGCAATCCGGGTGATTTTCCCCTCTCTTTTGCCATGTTCTTCCTTTCTTCATTCTCTTCATCTTCCTTTACATTTCATTCATATTTTTGCTTCTAAACATACAAATTCTTTACTGTTTTGCATGCACACATACACACCGTGTTGTATCGAACAATAGTCGGCACAATCATTTCGACTTTTCTACATCCTTGATCACTAAATGAGCTTGCTATATGAGTGGAAGACGTGATTTTGTAAAGTTGTATCTTGTTATTGATAACAAGTTTTAAAAACATGGACCTGATCCTTTGGAATCTTGGTATGCATGACTTAAATATTATTTTGTTTAGTCAATGAAGAGGGTGATTAATTCAGACGGCAGTTTTCCTTCATTTGAATCTTCAGCTGCAGAAGCTGTAGGGGCCTTGATGGTACTCTCTTGCGGTGCACGCTCTTCAATGGAGGACATTGCAATGGCTGCACCAGGAGGTCTTCGATGGATGAACATCTATCCCTTTACAGATCGTCAGCTCACTGAATACACCATCCGCAAGGCAGAGAAACTGGGATTCAAGGCACTTGTTGTAACCGTTGATTCTCCTGTGCCAGGCATACATGGTGCCATGGAGGAACTTTTAGGAAAGGACCATGTGGTGAACCATTCCTCCTATCGGTATGTTAACGTTTGCTGTTATCTTAACTGTAATTGTAGAACATCTTCAATCTGTGGGCAAGTCTAAGCTGTTTTGTCCCTTATGTTACTGATCATGATCATGTCTAACAAAGTAAGATTTAATAATAATCCCCTTGATACAATCATCAGATATAAACTCCTCATCGAAAAGAGTTCTGTTATTAAATCTTTAGCATATCTCTCTTGGTAGTATATTATCACACTTAACATCGATATCATTGAAAAGCCTGTTCCCCCTTGCATAATGCCCCATTTTTAATGATTATATAATCATGGAATGTACAGTACAACTGAATATGGGGCTAAGTCAAAAGTGAAATGTTTCAAAAATACATTGCTATTGTCAATAGTAAATTCTTCATTTTTTTTGGAGGCTGGATTTTGTTTTGAAGGTATAACAACAAATCAAATTAGGCGCATTAGAAATCGTGTTTGGATTACATTATGCATCATTGTCAATCGATGAGGCACAAGGCTTTGAGATGAATTTCTACAAATTTTAGTATTGCGTCTCTTGATTCTTGATTCTGTTATCTTTAAAATAATTTTGCTTGTTTTTCTTTCTGCATACAAAGCATGCCTGTCTATGAAGCGGACATTCCATCGGCTCGTGCTGCCAAACAGGAGAGCAATGCAAACCACTTCCAGTACGTAGATGAGATGACGTACAATCCAAAAGCCACTTGGGAATACATACGATGGATCAAGAAAGTCACTTCGTTGCCCATTGTCTGCAAAGGGATACTAACAGGTAATCATTCTGATGAAATTAGTTCATGCTAAAGGGAAAGTTCATCCTAATATTAATTTGGATAATTGAAGCAGAAACATGAAACGGGTCAGTAAAAGTTTGACCAAAAAGCATTTAAGAATGAGAAAGTTATTAATTCCTGAAGGTTCCATAAATCAAGCAAACATTGTCAACTCTTCGATTTATCTTGCGAGGTCTCCTCTAGCCATTCGCCTTGTATGCAAAATCTACATAAGGGTATATTTTTCCTCAAGAAAATGTGCAATCATGCATTTACCCTAAACATGATTATTGCAAGTAAATGTTTTTATACAGCCCTTTTTTTGCAACAAATCTATTCCGTCATCTATAACTAAGAAAATGAATTTTTCTGTACAGACCAAGTTGGAGAGGAGCTCGCAAGATACGTCACAGTGTTACCAATTTGGGTTTCACTGATGACAACATAACACATTCATAACTTTTCTGTTTTTCATCGGATCGCTCAGACTTTCACCAATTTGTTTCTCTCATTTTCCTGCTTTTATATAAACCATAATATCAGGGTGGACTTCCCCTTTATAAAAAAAAATCAGCCCAAGTCAATTTCAATACCCATAACCATCATCCATTGAGTGTGCGAGTATTACACTGGCGTATTGTTACAGGCAATCCAAGAGGGTATTGAAATTGACCTGGAGTTGAAGTTGATTTTGTGAAAGTCTTTGTGATCATGTTACCCAGAAATACATACATATTGAAAAATGCATAAAAATATATATCCAACAATCATTCAAAGTTTACTGTTGAGGATGAAAGATGCAAGATACACCATATCTGCTTTTCTTCATATAACACAATCTTCAAGAATTTCAAAAAATGAATTGAAAGGCAATTTTTAAAAAGTAAATTATTGCCTATTGAAATCATGTGTGGATCATGGCATCGTCATGTTCGCACGTTTCAATATATGACGCACAACCATATTGCAATTGACTTAGAGTGATTCCGTTTGCTATTTTCTGCAGTTGTGTTTTAATATCTGCATGAACAAAACTAAGACACGGCCTCAAATGTTTTTTTTCTCCATTGATGTACAGGTGAATCTGCTTCAGATGCTGCAAGCGCAGGATCGGATGGGATTCTTGTTTCAGCACACGGTGGAAGACAGCAGGAAAGCTCACCTGCTCCAGTATGTACATGTAAATCCATGCCTATAATAATATTAATAGTCACATTTGTATCGTGCTTTATACTACGTTTGTCATTACTATCACCCCTCCCCGGTCATTGGTTCAAATTTGTTCATTCGCACATGATAGTGCACACGATCCTCTCCCTGGGGAGTATTTCAGCCAGGCGTCATTTTACAAGTGCACACATCCCAACCTAATCACATTAACGTTCGCATCCTACTGGGTACCTATTTAACATGGAGAGTGGCAAATGTAGAATAATGTCTTGCCAAAGGAGGTTATAGTTCCTCGGTGGACTTGAACCGCAAACCATGTGATCCATAGTCCGACGGCGTATCCACTAGACCTCGAAATCTCTTCGCCTATGTTAAGGCCCGGTCACACAGAGGGGACGCATGCAGGACGCACGGCCGGCGCATGGAAAATTTACAATTTTGGCCAGTGCGTTGTCGTTCGCTAGGCGTGCGTCATCACTCGTTACTCGTTCGTCGAGCGCGTTGGACCAACGCTGGACAAGCGCTATGCATTCGTCGTCATTCGCTGTGTGCGTCGGGATTTTTTGAGCATGCTCAAAAGTGTGCGCGGAGCTCGACGCATGAATGTACACGCCAAAGGCACGCCAGACGTGCGTTGAGCGCGCTAGACCAGCGCCAGACATACGCGGGGCACACGCTCTGTATACGCACAGCGCGCTAGCTACACGCTGTGCATTTTGTGTCAGCTCGCTAGCTTTTCCAAAATCATGACAAAAGTTAGGCACACGGCCTTTTCCGATTTCTAATGCGCTGGCCGTGCGTCGTAGAACGCGGTGCATGCTTGGACCATTCGTCCAGCGCGCTAGCAACACGCTGTGCATTCGTGGAAGTTGTTATCATGTGCGCTCTGGGTACGGTCTGTATGCGTACTGTGTGCGCCCTGTATGCGCTCAGCGCGCTAGCAACACGCTATGCATTTGGTGTCAAAAGTTGGGCGCACGACAACGCACTGGCCAAAATTGCAAATTTCCCATGCGCTGGCCGTATGTTCCCCATGCGTCCTCCCTGTGTGACCGGGCCTTTAGCAGTGATGTACACAGCGCCCAAATCAAACAAGGAAAATTGAATCCTGGCTTTGTGTGACAGTAATCTTTTAGACAATTTTACCCAATAGTAAACTTTAAAATCAGGTTAGGAATCCGCATACAACCTTTTCCCTTGATAATTTTGACCTTGTTTTGATGGCGTTCATAGCACTAGGGGTATAAATGTCCATGTCCCACCCAAGCTACACTAAAGTGTAAAATCTCTACAACCTAATGCTTTAGTTAATCAACTTCATCGGAAGTCCCTATTCTGCAATTAATCGAGTTCTCTCCGTTTCTTGGGCACTGTGGTGCTTGGCTTTGCAGACAGAGGGCTGTGGAGGTCCATGGTAGCACAGTCTTGTTTCTTGTTTATTTACTTTCTTGTCATGAGCTATGTCTTTTAAAAGCCATTATTTTGCACATAAGGCGTCATTTCATTTGCACCATTTAAGGACATTCAGGGCATATAAGTGCACAGAACAGGTCCAGGTGCAACCTCTAACCCTTGAAGCAGGGCGATGTCTCGGGTGTTAAGGTCTCGTTCTCAGTCAAGAAGTTAGGTATACACGGATGATGGTGTAAGGACGGGAACTGTTGTCTTCAAGTCTCTTGGGAGAGGCACAAGAGATGTCGATGCTATCTAACACAATGAGTTAACACTATTATGGATGTAATAATATAATTGCAGGGCCCTCAGGGAGAACAGTATTAATACTGATGAGGCTACCCTGGGAAAACAAGACATATTATTATTATTATATCCTTTTCCACAGATCGATGCATTGGCCGAGGTAGTCGAGGCTGTACATGGTCGAGGAGTTGAGGTCTACATGGATGGAGGAGTTAGGACAGGGACTGATATCTTCAAGGCTCTTGGAAGAGGTGCAAGGGCCGTGTTCCTAGGCAGACCGATTCTGTGGGGACTTGCTTGTCAGGTAAAAACCTTTGTGACCTGGGCAAAAATGCTTAAAACTTAGCATGGTAGATGGTAACTTTGCCATCGCTATGGCATCAATAACTACCATTGCGAAATCATTCAATAGGCACTTTCAAATCAAGGTTTCCATGGAAGTTCCCAACAATGGTAAGTTTCATGTAACGGGGCCCATGAGTGTAGAGTGTACCTTGAGAGGGAATGGACACGGGCTGGGAGGGGAGCTGGTTCCTCTAAGCGCACCCCATGCACCTAATCCAGTTTCTCAGCTAGTTTCACTTGCATCGCATAATATTTCACATAAACTGGGGCGTTACCAATTTATCTTAGTACAAAATAATTTAGCATGCAGTAAAAGTCATGGCCCACATGAAACTCACATCTAAACAGTGCCGAATTCCACATGATAACCCGCGACCATGGACCTGTAACGTGCAGTGCTGTATTGTAGATTAATATCCATGAGAGAGTATCTGAGCTTTGAGTAATCTTGACATATGCATTCTGATTTATTATGACCAATAAGAGACCCATTGCTAGTTAGTACGATCACCATACAATGAATCTTGTCTGCTCATACAGGGTCCTGAGGGGGTTACAAGAATACTTCAGATTCTTCGAGACCAACTTGACGCAATCCTCGCATTGGCTGGTAATGGCCCGGTCCCACTGGCCGACGGACACAAAACGTATGCTTAAAGGACACAGCGGACGAGCAAAATTTCGGGGGTGGCTCCATCCGTTTTCATCCGCTCTAGAAATGGACAAAACTTGCGAAAATTTGCGAAAACAGAACGGAACATAACGGACGTCGGTAGTATGTAGCGGGGATGTTAAACGGATGTTCATCGGAAGCCTAGAGGATGAAAGCGGATGGAAGTGGATGACAGCTTTGAATACTTAATATACGAGATGCATACGCTTACATCCTTTCTATTTCCGTGCTACTAACGATGTATAGACGTTCCATGTACCTTATCTTTCCTCCCTCTTTCCGTTTTCAGCTGCAGCGGATGTGAGTTGCGAGGATGCCCAGAGGATGCAGAGAGGATACAGCGGACGTTTAACGGATGATAACGGACATAGAACGTTTGTTGCTCGTATTTGTCGCGGATTAACATCGTACACGGCGGAAGTTCATCCGTTCTAAAAGTTTTGTGCAGCTCAAAACTTTTT